GGCGGCGCCCACGCGGGGGCGTAGGAGGAGGGGGAGCCAGAGTCTGGGGCTGGGTGAGCGAGGTGCGATCTCTGGCCTAGATGGAGTGGGGTGGGGCGGTAGCGGAGTCCCTCGGCTTGGACAGCTCCAAATCTTCAAACTTCACGCAGACCCCCACCTACAGTACTGCGCTCCCGGCTCTGCTAGGCGGAGATCTGGGCGGGTCCTTTTGCTTTCTACCGTAAGCTTGGCACTGCCGTATGCAAATTCTCGGAAACCTCTCCCAGCCCCAGAGGGCGTGACTCCAGCCGGTGAGGAACCTTCTGTATCCCTAAACTTTGAACCGACACCCCCTCTTTCCTAGCGCGTTCTGGGCCCACTGCAGGCTCTGCGCTCTGAGCTTGGCCATCCCGCCTACCCCAGGGACTCAAACCTCGCGGTGCAAACAGCTCAATCGCTCATGGGTTCATTCAGCAGAGACCAGCTGTGGTTCCAGTCTGGAGCGGTGAAGTCCATGGCTCTGTGTTCAGTGCTCAGGGGTCTTACGCTCAAGTGACAGGTTTAGGCTGCCTAGAGCACTGTAGTCTGGGATGTGCTGGGGAGAGGGACACCAAGGACGACTACCCTGAAAAAACGGTACTGTTTTCTCTCATGAGGAAAGTGAGGCATTGATAAGGGATGGGCTTTCTCGGCATCCTCCGGTTAGCAAGCGGAGAAGCCAAAAGGCAACCCCAGGTCCACTGGTGAAATACCACTTGATTTTCTCTTTTCCAAGAAAGTTCTGAGCATATAGTCAGCATCCTCAAAATTTAAACTATCATTGAGTCATTTTATTTCCACATTGCAATTTTCAATTAGACGCAAACGAGCAACAACTTTGTACTGCATTAACCTACTGCTTTAATGATAGAGGAAAAAGCAATGGTGGGGAGAGAACAGAAGAGCAAATCCAAACCCCTCCTCATCTTCCAGCCACTCTTAGGTGGCTTCTATCCACCAGGACATCTCTGGGAAGCTAACCCGCCCTCTCCTTTGGGGGTGCAGTTCATCTGTGGTCTAAACCTAGAATTCCCAGGCGAGACAACGGATTGGGGTGGAATGAGGGTGGAATCCACCTCTGGAGAGCCACAGTTCAAATTGTGTTTCCTTACACGTCTTTCTTTTCTCTCCTTTTATCTCCCATCAGGTGTACCTGGGTGTTATCGCTTTAGTGTATCATTTGGCATTGTGCATTTTATTCGCCAGTGAGCCTTCTCGAGTTCTAGGGCAGACACGCTAATGTTTGTTGCTGAGCACTGGCATCAAAAAAGAACCCGTGTGAGGCCTTTCTGCGCTGACCAGTATGTATATTTTCATGTATTTCTACCGGGGAGATCAGTAGAGGCTGAAGTGTAGGGTCTTTAGTGAGTCTGTTACGAACCACATGGTAGCTGTAGCACGCCTTTTTATAGCTCTTATCTGATGAAAGGATTACAATGGCTCCCATATGGATGTATCAAAATATATTAATTCATTAAAAGGTATTATATTCTTGCGCTGTGCAAGCTCCCCCTCCATCTTTCCCTAGTGGGCAAGTACTGTATCTTATCAAATTTATATTTATTTTACCACCTAGCATTGCATGTTACACTAAATAAGAGCTCAATAAATTGAATTTAATTTTTGTCTTTTGGTTTAACTTCTAGTAGGATTTTTTTAAATACTGCCCTTTCAGTTTAGACAAACTGTAAGCAAGATCTCCACCTTGTGGCTGTAAATAGAATGTCATGTAATTAGGCAAAATGTATACTTTTACCTGAAGATTAGTGAAATTAAACTCTGAGAACACTAAGTGACTACTATAGCCCAAGCACATCTTACAAAGTGTGGGGAAATTAAGGGCAGTTGGTGCAGCTGGCTTTGTGGCTGTTGAAGCTAGGAATAAATAACTAGCGGGATCCTTCACTGCATACTGCACAGTCACTCTCATCCATTGTTTTATTTTAGGTCCTGTTGACGGGACTCGGGACCTTGCACTTGTGAGGCAGACAGTGGAATCACTGAACTAAATCCCCGGCCCTCTTGTCCATTGTTTTATGGCCATTTGGGCACAATGCCTGGCACTTAGTGGGTGTTCAATCACAATTTGATGAATAAATCATTGGGATTCTATGAAATGAAGCCCTGCGAGTAGTAAGTATCAAATTTTAAAGGGCTACCTTACTACTAAAGAGCACAAAATAAGAACTTTCATTAATACTGAAAGGAAAAACATTGATGGGGGCTTTGCTTAAAGACTGAAGGAAGAGCACATGGTTTGGGGTCTTCACATCCCACATCCCAGTATCTCCCAATCTTGGTATTGTTACTGACGTAGAAACTGGAGCTTAACAAAGTTGGCTACCATCTTCCACCTCAAAAGATGGACTGATATTCTCATTGAACAGTCCATTGTTTTAGTCCCAGGACTAAATGTGTCATATACCAGAACAGGATTGAAACTTAAAACAAGTTCACTGAAAGCAGAATTACAGAAAACCAAAGGAACAGGTGCACATACACCTACTGGCCCTGTGAAAATGCAGTGCAGTTTTAAAAAAGGCATTTGATTATTTCAGATAGTGCATGAGGACCCTTGCTCTCTTTCCCTGCTGGATGAAAGCCCTTCCATTGTCCTTTATTTCCAAGCTTGAAGGCCCCTCTCTCCCACCGCAGGCCAAGCCACTGTGGCTGTTGGGATAGACAGAACGTCACAGCTTCACCTTCAGTCCTTTCTCCTGGCATTTGTTGGGGGATGCGGGAAACTGCTTGCCCATCCCTAAACAGGACCTATTTGTACCTTTAAGCCTCTCTTAATGCTCCTCAGAGTTCCTCCTGAACCCGTTCCTGCTATATTCAAAGCTACCCATTGAGCAGTGCCTCCTGGGGAAGACAAGGGAGGTAGGAGTGAGTACTGGGAGCAGGAAGGAGGCTGGAAGTTGGAAGATTTTCTAAGCCTGGCATTTCCATTTTCTGGCTTGTTTCTTGGGCTAGCTTCTCATTCTGAGTCTCAATTTCTGAACCTGAAAAATGAGGATAATAAATCCTACCTAACTCATGGGGTGGTTTGCAGCTTATGAAATATGAATAGCAACCATAACAACAGTGGCAGCAAACACTTCCTGAATGCTCATTATGGGCTTAGTGTGGGGCTAAGCTCTGCATGTGCTTTCTCCCGGTTGACACCCCAGTAATATCATTGTCACCCCCCAATTTACAGATGGGAAAACCAAAGCATAGTCAGTAACTGCCTGAAGTCAAACAGCAGCTGAGCGACAGGGCTGAGGTTCAAGAACTCTTTGCACATTGTAATCATCTGGGGCAACGTCAAGAATAAAAATCACTGCATTAAAGTTGGTTCAATCCAGATTAAATCTTACTTTGAAATGTTCTCCACGGTGGCTACTAAGTGAATTGGTTAAGAGCATAAACTCTTAAGCCAGATTATCTAGATTTCAGACCTAGCCAATTATTATTAGTAGTGTGAGTTACTTAATCTCTGTGCCTCAGTGTAATCATCTGTAAAATGCAGCCATAATAGTATTATTAGCATTACCAACAATATATGTAATATCTAATGTTTAATAGTGATAGTGACAAATGTTGTAAGGTGATGATTATTATTGTGATTAAATCTGTCATTGTGTTTCTTTTATTGTTTCTTTCTTTTTTTTCTTTTTTTCTTTTTTTTTTTCAGTACTGGGGAATAAACGCAGGCCTTTGCACTGAATTACATTCCGGCCCTTTTACAATTTTTTATTTTGAGACAGGGCCTCTCTAAGTCACTAAATTGCCCAGGCTCAGCTTGAACTTACCTTCTTTCTGCTTCAGCCTCTCAGAGTGCCCAAATTACAGGATGTTCTGGTTTATACCTAGGTGTTCCCCCCAAAACATCATGCACTCATAGGTAGGGCTTTGGGAAGATGATTGGGTCATAAGTGCGTGACACTCATCAGTGGATTGGTCCAGGGATGAGCTGATAGCCAAATGTGATTTGGGAGGTGAGGCCTGGTTGGAGGAGGTGGATCACTGGGGGTGTGGCTTGGAAGGGTCCATCTCCCTCTTTCCTCCCTGGATTTCTCTCTCTCTGCTTCCTGCTTCCTATGCCATGACTTGTTTCTCCTCTGCCACGCCCTTCTGCCATACGCCCCTCTGTGTTGGGGCTAGCAGACTACAGACTGAAACCTCCACACACAGACTGTGAGCCAAAATAAAGCTTTCCTCATTATAACTGTGGGTATTGGATATCATGTCTCAGCGGCAAGAAAATGACTAAGAGATAGGCTCACACAGAGCTAATTCCCAAGTTTAAAGTACTTGAAAGACCACCTGCATGTTCATTGTTAGTTTTCCCCTTCTGATTTCACTGTTTCCTTGCCCAGTCAGGGGTCTTGTCTTCCCCCTGCTGTCCTCTACCAAGTCTCGCTTAGTCTTGAGCAGCCCAACAGGACCTGTATAGTGTTTCAGGGCCTCACACCCTCTTTACATCCCAACTGCCACCTTCCCTGACAACTTCGCAACTTTTCTTCTCCACAGAGCTGAATCAACTGGCCTCTTCAACACAACGCTTGTTGAAAGTCCAGAGCCTCCAGCCAGTCACAGGCAGCCTGCTTCTGGCTTCCTCTCGCCATTCTACACTTTTCAGTCCTGATCTTTTCAGGGTTACCTGAATCACAGGTTCTTTCCAAAGATAGAGGCCTCCAAATGAAACCCTTCTATGGAAAGGAAGAGAAAGAAAAGAGATGTCAGAGAGAAATATCCTATGACTCCTACATTGGCCATTACTCTTTGTCCTTGGGCAGCTTTCTAACCCTCAGAGCTAATTTCCTTATTTATGTCTTGGATGGTGATTGAATGTTTACATTCCCTCCCAATTCATATGTTGAAATTATGATGCTCAGTGTAATGATGTTAGCAGGTGGGGCCATTGGGGGCGTGATCAGGCCATGAGAGTCAACCCCTCATGAATTAGACTAGTGCAGATATATAAGGGGCCCCTGTGAGCTCTCTAGCCCTCTCTCCACCATGTAAACCTGGAAGAGAACCCTCAAAAGACACCCAATCTGCATACAACTTCATCTTGCATTTCCAGGTCTCCACAAGTATGAGAAATACTTGTTGTATAAGCTACTTGGGCTGTGATATTTGGTTATAGCAGCCTTAACTAAGACATTCCTTGTTTTCCATTTCCTTTCCCAGGATGGCATATTGTTTTTCTGCTTGGGGATCCTTTTCCTTTTAGTGTGTCTATTGTCCATGATATGGTTCTTCCAAAGACTGCTCTTCTTTACATACTGGGTGCTGCATGCCTATAATTCCAACACTTAGGGAGGCTGAGGCAGAGGATTAAAAATTCGAGCCCCACCTGGGCAAGTTAGCAAAACACTGCCTCAAAATAAAGAACAGGAAAGGGCTGGGCATGTATCTCAGAGGTAGAGTGCCCTGGGGTTTGATCCTGAGCTTTGGGGCCATTACTAAGTAAAATAAGAGTTACTTAAATGTAAGCACGGATCCTGCAGTATTTGATCTGATTAACTGAGAAGGCTACTATGGGGTAGGTAGTATTATAAACATGTATATGCCGGACCAAGGGATGATTCATGTTTCAGTGGGATGGCGTGAGATTTCAGCACAATACTTAGAATGGGTCATGATTCTTATGAATTATTTATTTCTGGAATTTTCCATTTAGTGTTTTAAAGCTGGAGTTGGCCAATTGTAACTGGAACCATGGAAAGTGACTACAGAAAGAGTCGACTGTGCATGTCCGATTCCAGCTAGAGCCTATGGAGAGCTAGAAGGAGGCCGGCAAATGTAATAGTCATTGAATGCAATTCACCTATCTGCCTGAACCAGTCTTGCTTTGAAGAACACATTGTGTTTCTGGAAAGAAAGTCGAGGTTGACATGAACCCTTTCAATTATGGTGAGACCGGCATTTTTAGTTCTCTTTATTCCTTTTGGCTTTCTTTTGGACCTGCTTTTGAAGAAGGTTCGTGTAGTTACTGGTGTTAGAGACTAGAATCTAAAGGCTGAAACACTGGTGAGTTAATTTACTAAAATATGTAGCAGTTGCCAACACTCATTTGAGTCCTTGTTACAGAAGATGTTGGTGAGGATTCTGGACAGGGCATCTAGGGACATGAATATCCTTCTCTACCATAATTTAGTTCAACAGACATTTCTTTTCCAAATTCTAAAAGGTAAAGGACAGGACAAGAAGTGACAAGGCATTAGATTTCCTCTTGTCCTGAAATGCCTACATCAAGGAAGTTGGTTGTCTTCTTCTTATCCTCTACTTACCCTTCCTCCCTCTTGGCAGCTCTCCATCTTTCTACTGTGAGCCTTGTGCTTGAAGGAGGCTGGATTGGGCTAAACCAGTCATGGAGCATTTAATTCCTTGCTAATGACTAGTTAAGGCATAAGCACATGACATGATTCTGGCCAATAAAGTTCATTGGGAGGTTCCTGGAAAAGATGTCCTCCTAGGTAGGAGGCCTAGAATTGGAGCAGTCAGAAAAGCAAACTAAATTTACACTTTTTAGGATGGCACAGCAGAAAGATGGAAAGAACCAGAGGTCCTGGTGACGTTGTCATGCCTCCAAATTAATCAACTCAGGAGCCACCTTTCCTTTGATCTTTGCTTGTAGTTTAACCTACTGTGAATTGGCATTTCTCTTGTTTACAACCAAAATGTTTCCAAATGATATACTCCCTTACATCAGAGCTTACAAAGTAGAGAAGGAAGAAGATGTGTAGATAAGTCTCCTCCATCACAGCTGGGCTTCTGGTCTGGCAGTGTGGCTTAGTCTGTAGAATATGTACTCTTGTTCTTACGAAGTCTACCATCTTGAGAAAAATCACCTAATCTGTCTGGGCCTGTTAACTCACTCATCTGTGAAGTTCAGGTGATAACTGACCCTGCCTCCTTATTGTGTGGATGAGATGTACCTTAAGCACTTAGTAAGTGTTCAGTAAATCTCATCAACTTCTATAGCTATTTTGGAAATAGCATAAAATAAGGAGTGAGCAGTTCTGCCCGGGAATTTCCAGGAAGGCTTCGACAAGGAGGCAGATGTTAACATGAGTCTTGAAAGGCAAGTTGGGGTTTGTAGGTCTAAGTCTGAGCGGGGAAAGACATTCAGGCAAGCAGAGGGAACAGGATGTGAGCTCAGCAGCCAGGTACCCAAAAGCAGATTATTGCATCCTTCCAGAGCTCAATTGCTTCATCCTTAAAAGCACTTGTGTGTGTCGGAGTAACTTAATCCTCTTTTGATAACTAACCTATGATTGTTTGTCTCAACCCATCCTGAAGAAATTCATTCAACAAACATTTCCCACTCAAGACAAGTGACTCTCAGTGGCTTTGTTGATTTTGTTCTTCACTGCTGCCTAGAGTTTTATTCAGTGCGCAATTAGCGATTCTGAACCTTCTCAGCCTCCCTAGGCCCCGCATCTCTCATCAAGCAGATAGATGTTGAAGCTTAATTAAGCTTGTAAAGCTTTCTGATTTCCTCCAATGAAAGGTGGCCCGTAAGTAGCAGGTTTTATTTTGGTGGCTCCTGCCCAGGGTTATTATAAATAGGACTCAGTGCGATGTGGCTGAGCTCTTAGGGTGATAATGTGTCAAGACCAATCGAGGCTGCCGAGAGCAGAGACATTATCATAATGGTCCCATCATCTGTGGTGGGTGTTAATGGAAGTGGATATGAAAAGAAAAAGCACGGCAGGCGGCGAGGCAGGCAGAGCGGTGGCTGCGAGTGAAATATCGCTGCTCCTGGGATCTCCATCATAATCATTAACTATATTAGCCTTGGAGCCATTCTTCTGCCATCTCTCTCAGATCAGGCTTAAATGGAAATAAAAAATGGATGCTTTAACTCCAAATGAAAATATATTCCTTTGCTGCTTTTTAAAATCCATTTTCATTAGAATGATGGCCAGCAGGTAAGTAATTTATAACAGGGGTTCAGTGCCGTGCAGATGAGTGGCCTCTGAATTGCAAGCAGCCTGTGTGGGAGACCGATGGACTTGTGGATCCAGGAAAGATGTCGCTGTTGGACTGAAAAGTAGCTGGTAAGAACGTGGAAAGGCAAAGGAGACTTACGGACACTTGCTGGTGGTGATGGAGAAAAGAGAGATAGCTTTGCATTTCCACATTGAGGTAGAAGCGGTCTTCAGTGATAACAGCGCAGGTCCAGAAACCTGGGCTCCAGGTTTTATCCCTGAAAACCAGCTTTCTGCACCCTTTACACCCTCAGTAACATCTGGTGCTGATAATGAGCATGGTGATGGTGTGACCCTGTGGGCAGTCCAAACCTCCCTACTCTTTTGAGATTCAGTTATGTTCGCTCCACATTTCTGTTCTATGGTCTATGAGGTCCAGAGACTTTCTTCCTGTTTCTAAGAGTCCCTGGAGCTTTTTCAAGCTCAGCTCTCTGTGTCCACTTCCTGCATGCACTGACATGGGTGTGGAGATCCACACAAGCCTCATTCAGCCCCTTCCCCTCACTTGGCCCAAACAAATCATGACTTGAATGACCACAGAGGCTCTGAGGGTCACCCTGGGGAGCTGCATTGCTGTGCAAGGCCTTGATCCATCTAGTGGTCCACTCCTCCCTTTCTCTCTCCACCTGGATGCAGAGACAGGTGTCATTTCCCCCTTACATCATGTCCAACAGGGATTCCGTGTCCCCCAGGGTCTCAGCTGCTACCTCAGCTCAACAGATCAAGATTTCTCAAGATGCCACATCGGTCGCCCATCTGTATGTTCTTGGATGCAGTTTAACATCCCCTATGTCCCTTCTACATGGCAGGCAGTGTGCTGAGCGCTGTCTGTACTGCTTCTCTTGACGCACCCCTCTGTCCTCAGAGGTGTTAGTCCCCCATTTCATTGAGGGGGAAACTGGATCATCATGAGAGCTGGATTTGGCCTAAGAGATTTCTACTACATAAAAGAAGAAGAACTCCAACTCAAGACAAGTGACTCTCAATGGCTTTGTAGATTTTGTTCTTCACTGCTGCCTAGAGTTTTATCCAGTGCACAATTAGCTGTTCTGAACCTTCTCAGCCTCCCCAGGCAAATCTGGCAAATGACCAGAGTTACGTTAACTGCAGCCCAGGTTGAGCATCCCTAACCTGGAAATCCAAAATCTGGTATGTTTTAAACTTCAGACCTTTTGAGCACCAACATGATGCTGCCACGAGTCATGAAAATTCCCCACTTGACCTCCTGTGTTGGGTTGCAGTCAAAACACAGGTGCACTAAAAAATTGCACGAAATTACCTCCTGACTGCGTGTATAAGATGTATATGAAACACAAATGAATTTAGACTTGAGTCCCATCCCTGGGATATCTCAGTATGCATATGCAAATATTCCAAAGTATAAAACAGTTTAAAAACCTGAAAGAGTTGTGGCGTGCTGTCTATTCCAAGCACGTTGAAGTAGATGCTTCCTGTCACTCTCCTCACCTCTGCTGAGGGATCGCGCCTAGGCCCGCTGCAAGGAAATAAGTGGCAGCACGGCGGGCTCACCAGGGTTAATGACTTATGGGTGGGATATTTGTGGTTGGGGCCAGGTGTGGTAGCAGACCCCTGTCGTCTCAGCATACTGGGAGGCTGAGGCAGGATACTTTTCAAGTGTGAATCCAGCCTGGGCTGGCCTGATGGTCCTAGGGATGGCGCGAGCTCTGTTTTAGGATGCGGTTAACTTGGGTAAGGACGGTAGCATGAGAACACCTATGGTCATGTCTCCTCTATGTGGCCCTTTGCTGCTTTGAAGCTCTGTTTACATTAAAATGATGGTTTTACTCCCCGTGGGAGGCCACTATGAGCTTGCCACAGGGAAGAGGAGGCATCTGAGGTATGTTTGTTGTGTGCCTTGCACCCTGACTTGCTCCTGAATATCTCCACTTCCTTTTTATTTCACTCAAGTAAAAAAAGAAAGAAAGAAAATTTGGAGGGCGGTTCTTGCCACCTGAGTTCATAGAATGGCTACATTTTAGAGGCAGTCGGGGCCTCAGGAGTAGCGGGACCAAAGCAGAGGAATAATGGTGGTGATGTATTTATACAGCTCCCTGAGGCTTTGCAGAACAATCTTGTATGCCAGTCTTGTTGACTTTTCACAACAATCTGCTAGGAGGGTAGCAGGGCGAGGGAGAGTTACTATTTCTGCTTGTTCAAGGAGAAAGTCAAGCTTTAGAGAGTTATTCAATGAGCCCAAGATTCACAGCTAGTTTCTGACAGACCTGGAACTTGAACACACTTCGCCTGACTTCCACCCATGTGACGTCTGTGCACAGGGCTGCTAACAACTGCAACCTCTGTCACTGTCTCATTGCTTTTGTCTGGCTACATGTACATGTTACGTGTATATTACATTGCCCACTAAAACTGTAGCAATGAGGGCCGAAAAAGAAACCCAAGAACTGCTGAAAAACTGGAAAAGTTTGGTCTCCCTTCCATTCAGTGGTACTTTCATTTTTTCAGTACTTTGGGTGGAACCCAGAGCCTTTACTCTGAGCTACATCCTCTGCCCTTTTTATTTTTCTCTTTTGAGATAAAGTAATGATAAACTGCTCAGGCTAAGCTCAGATTTTTGATTCTTTTGCCTCAGCCTCCCACAGTGCTGAGATTACAAGTCTGTGCCACCATGCCCAGCTTCGATGGTACTTTCTATCTCACCTACCAGCATCTGTAATAGAAAGAAAAAAGTAGAGAAAAATGACCAAAAGGAGAGTGAGAGATTATTTTGAAATATTTTTCTGCCTGTTTCTGTTGGTTGACAAGTGGAGGAGCTAATAAGGGGAAGACAGAGTGAGAGAGAGGAAGTAATCATTGCTGATTGACTTATTTTCTGGCCTTTTTTCTTAAAAAAAATCTTTAAATGACTCTGATGTGGCTAAGAGGAAATGATAAGAAACAAAAAGCTTCCTTTTTTTTGTTCTCTGCTCCCATGCCTGATATCCTTACACAGAGTAAAACAAAGCCATCAGACAGAAGCATGGTACTTGACTTAGTCTTCTTTCCCTTTTAGAAGGCTGTTTGATTAGGGGCTAAGACACCTGCATGGCTGTTTAGGATCCTAGAGAGTAGTGGACTATATGGAAGTCTTCCCATTTTGTTTTTCTTGTTTGTAAAATGGGATAGCAATGCTTTCCTCGTAGGAGTATTGTGCAAATTAAATGAGATTATGGATCAAATAAAATACAGGTGAAAATATAGGTTTAAAGTTTTAATGTGAGGTGTGATCACAAAATACAGTGAATATTTAAATTTAAAAATTATTACAATAAAATATACACTGTCAGTAATTCCTCTCTGTTCTGTTTTGGTTTTTTTTATTTTGTTTTTTGGTACCGGGGATCAAACTTGGTTCCTTGTGCTAATGAGGCAGGCAGCAGAACCACTGAGCTAAATCTCCAGTTCCTTAATTCTGCTCTGAATACTCACCCTTACTTAGAACACACTTAGCCCATCATTCTTGCCTCTTTCTGAAGCAGTTCCAGAAGTCCTCTTTCGTGAGGGTCTTTAGCTGTGCTGTCACGGCTGCTTCAGTGTCCTGAATCGATTGAAAACATTTACCTTTCTTGTTCATTTTGACTTTGGGGAAGAGCCAGAAGTCACACAGAGCCAGATCTGGTGAACAAGGCGGCCGCGGACAAGGACAGACCTTCATGTTTTTAGGAGCCCGTCTTTCCACTGGCTGGTACTCAGCAGCAGCACTCACCATAATTTTGATTTCACATCGAAAGGACAAGAGAGGACGTCCAGAGCTGCTTCAGAAAGTGGCAAGAAATGATGGGTGGTGTTTGAAGTGAGGGGATTATTTAGAAGAGGATTAATGGCAGTGTATCCTTTAGTGTAATAACTTTTTATTTAAGCGCATAACAGAGATTGTGAACAGCCCTTAATCTTAAGAACCACACACCCAGCTGCGTAGGACAATGTCTGGGAGGACACATACTAACCTGTTTATAGTATCATTACTCAAGAAAGTGTCTATGGGGGACACACTTTGAATTTTTGACTGTGTACATTTTTATTCTATATTCCATAGAACACTGTGGGAACGGTGTGTATATTAATGGATATGTGTGGTGGCTCAACTTAAAAATTAAGATCAAATACAAGAGTATGCAGTTATGGTTCACTAGAGCAACAGATATTATATTATATATGTTTATATGTTATATGAAGGATTTACTCAGTAGGCTTACAATGGCTGAGTTTAGAAGCATGGACAGAAGTATGCAAAATGGCTGTCTGCGTGCTGGAGAGTTGGAGATTCAAGTCGGAGGTTGAAGGCCTGGAGCTCACTATAGGGTCTGGTGTGAATTCATGTTGGAAGGCTGAAGAGTCTGTGAGGGAAGAACTGAAGATGAATATTGAAGGGCAATAGCAAAGACTAGAGTTCCTCCAAAGAAGCGAAAGAGAATACTTCCTCCTTCATTCCATCTAGGCTACAAGCCTACGGGTTGGTGCCATCCACATCAGGGTTGGGTCTTTTCCCCTTCACTTTGGGGCCTGCATGTCATCCATAGATGTATCCAGAACTATGCTACACGAAACCTGCTGGGCATTTTTTTTTTTTTACGTCTATTCAAGTTGACATATCACAATTAATTATCACAAAGACTAATAAGGAATGTGACATTTTTGTGGAAGATTTCACATTCTGGGAGGAGAGTCTGATTGGTTCATTTGGAGTTAGAGGTGTCCAGAATCAGTCAAACGTCAGAGCAGATAGTACGTAAAGGAACAGCTCTGTGCTAGACCACCCCTCCATATGTATCCTCCAACACTTTTGAGTTTTTTAAAAAAATACTCGCGGTATTTTTAAATAATGAAAAACTTTAGCAATGAATGAAACCAGCAAAGCTATATTGTATGATCCTAACAAAATGTATTTTGTGGATTTTTTTATAGGCAATCGATAAAATCAAAACAAAGCAGCATGATTTTTTATTTAGATGGCTTGTGATTCATCACAGAGTCATACGTCCACCTTGGGCCTGAATGAATGTTGATCATGGTGGCAAACACACCCACACAACAATAACAAAACTTGTCTTTTTGATTCCAACAGTTTGCTGAAATCCAAAATTTCTATAAATTTTCTCAGTGCTTTCTCTCACTTATGGGGCTTGACACATTGATTAGAGTAAAAGAAAGTAACAGGGCGTCTCCTGATTTTTCTAGCACCAGCTGTTACTTTGTGGTGATTGCGGGATGGGGAATAGAACATACACAATATGCAGGGAACATCCTGTGTTTGATCAGGAGAACAGGAAGGGAAGAGAGAAGAAAAGAGAAGAGGAAAGGAGAGCATGGAGACCCAGAGGGTTGGGGAGGGAAGACGTTGCTTTGCCCCGGGGCAGCATGATTTAGGGTTTATGTGAGGCAAGCCCAGATCCAGCCTGCATTTTCTATGCTGACCATCTGTGTTTCCCAGGAAAGAGGAACACAGCCAGGCAGAGAAGTTGGGGAAAAAGTGAGAAGGAGGCTCCTGGCCAGCCTGGGAGGGGCCGGGGCATGCTTGTGTTCTCAGTAATGCCTCCTGGCAACATCAAGCCGCAGAAGGCTTCTCAGCTACCTCCCCACTTGGCAGCCCATGAACGTCCTTCCCAGTGTCAATAAGTCCTCCTCGTGGCCACCCACCCCTGCCTTGTGACTTGTTTTGTTTTGTTTTTAGGGGATTGAGATGAAGTTGCTGGAGAAATGACCAGAAATTACTTATGTGAGAGCAGAAGTCACACTTCTAACACCCGGGGTTGGACTATTAATGACACTTCTGAGTCTCGCTGAAGGTCACAGAGCACTCAGACCCTCACAACCCTTTTTGGGTAGTTTTCATGAGCACACACGAACAAACCAAGGATCAAAGAGTTTGTGGAAATTACTCAGGTTGGCCCAGGTGTTCAGTGGTAGAGCCAGATTCACACCTGGTCCAGTGTCTCTAGGTCACTTTGTCTTAACCCCTTCTCCCTGTCAGAAAGCCAGCTCACAAGGATCCAAGACCTTGAAACTTCGCTGCATATCACTGGCTGCTCTGGGATGGGTCACAGGACTGTTGTGAACCCTTATTCTTAATTAACTACATCAAATTGGGACGTATGATAAAATATTCATTCCCAAAGCTAGCATTGAAATATGTATATTTAGGGCAAGCCTTTGAGTCTATTTTTTTTTAATACTGGGGCTTGAACCCAGGGGTGCTCTACCACTGAGTTACATCTGCCACCTTTTTTATTTTTATTTTTTAATTTTGAAATAGTCTTTCTAATTTGCCCAGACTGGCCTCAAACTTAAGATTTTCCTGCTTCAGCTTTCTTAGTAGCTGGGGTTACAGGCGTGTCACTGTGCTTGCCCAAGTCTTTTTCTTCAGTACTTGTTCGGGAGACCAAGCCACTGTGAACCCTCAGAAGTTCATACCTAGCGCTTCCAGGGAGGAAGCCTCTTTCCAAGACACCCATGGAAAACCATTTTTCTCTTTTTGAAGCTTCAGACAGTGGGGGTTCCGCCCTCTAAAGTTGCTGAAACAGGAATGTCAGACTAAATACTTTAATTGGAATTAAAAATATTGCAAATTTCGTGCTAACTGCCGCTGGCTATAGCTGAAATAAAAATGACATTGCTTCAGATGATACCAGGCGCTAATTAAACCAGTGGAGAATGAAACAACAGAAATACAACAGCAACAAAAATTGGAGTCCAGGGCTTCAGAACACTCCCCCAGCTGGGCAGTTGAATTTAAATTTTCATTATTTTGAGTGAATGTGGCCGTTAGGAATCATGTAGGGACAGTTCTTTATGTGATTTCAGGGACATCCCTCTTGTACCATAGTTACTTGCATAAAGCTATACCATGTATTTTTGCTAAAGAAAAGTACAAATATATGCCCATCTAGAAAAATGTCCAGGAGGATGAATACTTAAATGTTAATAGTAGGTTACCTTGGGGAAAGGAAACTTAAAGAAAAAGAACTTTCTTCTTTTAGTTTTAAAAAAATCTTTATATATTCCTGGAGTGTTTAAATTCATTATCCTCAGCATGTACTTTTGAGCAGACTGGGATGATCAAGGGAATACCTGATGTTTACATGATTCATGTTTCATGGCAGCAGAATATCAAAAGGAAAATTAGACATATGATCATTAAGAAGCTGGCCCAAACCAGGCATAGTGGCACATGCCTGTAGTCCACCACTCTGGGAAGCTGAGGCAGAAGTGTACGTTCAAGCCCAGCCTGGGCAACCTAGCTATTTTGCAAATTTTTGTTTCAAAATTAAAAAAAAATAAAAAGGGACTGGGGTTATAGCCATGGAGATGGAAAAGAGGAGAGGCATCACTGCAGACCAGGGCCAGGGTGTCACTTGAATTGACTTCAGGCTGGTGAAGTGGCACTGTCTGCGTGAAGATAGGGCTTAGACACTGGTTCTGAGTGATGGAGAGACCTCAATGAGCTAGAATTGTAATTCTTAGTGCATGGCCTGGTGGTGATGAATGGACAAATGAATGTGTTACTTCATCAGGCTTCTTGCTTCCATGTGCAGGCTGACCTCCTTTAAAAGCCTAATCAGTCTTTTTTTTGTACTGGGGATCAAACTCAGGACTTTGTGCTTGCCAGGCAGGCACAATGCCACTGAGCTACATCCCCAGCTCTTAATTAGTATTGAGATTGGTTATTTCTCATGTTCTTCCCCTGATCTGAGATCCTCTTCCCGTAAGGAAGATATTTTCCTAAATAAAATCAAGGCTCTTCTAAGGTCTGGATCATTTTTGAATGCCTGTTGGGTCATAGATCTCCTTTTGTTCTAACTATGAGAACCTCATCTCTAAATGGCTTAAACAAACAAGAAAGGAGACAAATTTAAGGCACAAGAACCTGGAAAATCTGGGTTGCCTTGATGTGGCTGACCAATGTCACTAAATGCTGATTTCTTTTTGAACTTTCAGTTGAACAATGGTCTGGCTTCTGGTTTGTACTTCCACAGTATGTAGAAGATACTGTTTTCTTAGAAGTTCCTTGAAAAAATCTCTCTGAGTTTCACTGATGTAAGAAAGTATTTTTTTTCTCCAGTGCTGGAGATCAAATCTAAGCCCTTGAGCAGGCTAAGAAAGAACTGTATCATTATGCTAAACCCTGAGCCCCTCCAGTCATTCTTGATTGGCTGATCAGCTTAGGATTCCTGGGCCAATCACACTTA